TGAGAATGTAAATATTGTTGTCAAAAAGTGACAACTTTATTCAAATATTAGAAAATGTTATGATCAAGCTCCGAATTACCTTTTCAATGTTATTTACTTGAAAGATAGACGAACTACATAATTTATTATTTGCAAATCATTGATCATCTTAGTTGTTGCAATGATTTTAGAGTTGTTTATCATAATATCTTTTACATTCGTTCGGATTTGCTATATTTATGTCTTTAATAACTTCTTTAATGTTTATGTTGTCCAACATTTTGCATCATAGATAATGCTTCGAAATTTCAAGATAAAAATCATTTCTTGATTCTTCAACAATAACAAAACAATGAGACAATATTGAAAAGCATATCATTTGGCAAAATATTTGAGAGGAGAAGAATAAATAATGATACTCTTAGTCATTGGTGAACTTTATTATTAAGAAGTTATTCTTCAAATCTACATTATGTATTACAAAGTTTATAATTTTTTAATTATTTAAAATTTAAAATTTAGGATCATTATTTATGTGAATCAATTTTTTACAAAGTCCATACATTTGAATGCTAGCAACAAAAAAAATTATTATTTTTAAAAGACTCTGTTTTTGGATATTGATATTCATTCTTCTCTAAGAAAATTAATATTTTTTTTTTCTCATTGCATTACTATAGACATGGCCATCTGGCGAGACGGTTCAGGACCCGCCCGGCCCGGCGGGTTGCCGGGCCTCAAAGGCACAAAACCCGCCCGGATATATTTAAGGGTGAGTTTGTTGAATCAGTTGTTCATTAAATCGTCGGTTTTTCTCCAGTTCAGGGTCGGCTCCGGCGATTCTTTTTTTTATTAATCTTTATTTTTTAGTTATGAAAGGGTATTTTTTGGGAAAAAAGAAAAAAAAAAAAAAAAGAATCTAACGTTAAGACATCATAAGTGGATAATAGTCAATTTGAGACTTAATTCTTGGAAGTCGGGACTACTGACGACCCTTTCCCGGTTGAGCTTGAACAGGCGAAAGGACGGTCAACAATCTCGGCTGTCAAGAATTAAATGCCTAAATGACTATTTTCATGTCTAAGAACTATAAAAATTAAGTGGATGCAGTTCAGGGAGCATGAATTTTACATGGTCAGATATCTTTTGAAATATACCACTCATTTACATCTCACTAAGGTGAGCAAAACCGAGCGTTTTTTATTTTATTTTTTATAATAATTTCATTTTTTACAATTTTATTAAAAAATGAAAGTGAATAATTGTAACTTCCTACTTTAGTGACTTTTGGAAATTAATTATAGTGAAGGCCATTTTCAGCAATTCAATTTTTAGAAGCAACTCTCCTTTCTAAGAGATTTTTAAATTGCACGTGCGAAGTACACGATTATTAATAGCTTTTTATGACTAAGTTATATTTTAATTGAACTTATGCCTAAAATTAAAAATTTATATTAGTTTAATAAATGAAGAAACACGTATATAATAAATGATATAAATATATTGGCATTGAAACATAATCATTAATGGTATTTGTTATACCACAAATACCTGAACCGCTCGACCGCTCCTCTTGAACCGAATTAAACTTTCTCGATCGCCGGTACCTGCAAAACACGCCGGGGGTGGTCCCGGCGTGGACACTCCGACGCTCAAGTCAGTGGTGGTGTTTCGGAGAGAAAACGACAGAGTAACGAGATAGTATGTGTATGTGTGTTGTGTAGAATGAATGAACCTGCTCCTTTTTATAGGTGAAGCCATGAAGAGTCCTGGTTGTTCTGGAAGTCTTCCTAACATCTAACCCTAGATTTGGTTAGATCTTCTTAGATCATAAGAATCCTAGTTGCTGTGAACCTCCTCGTAACTTGGTAAATACGACGCCACCCCCAGGTCCTAGTCCCCTCAACGGAATCCTCCTGTCGAGCTGCCTGGGCGACTAGGTGCCTAGATGACGAGGTGCCCAGGCAACAAGGTGCCCAGGCGACGAGGTGCCCAGGCGACGAGGTGCCTAGATGACGAGGTGCCCAGGCGACGAGGTGCCTAGGTGACGAAGTACCTAGGCGTTTACCTTAGGCACCCCGCCTAAGCTAACCTCCGTCTGGCCAGTTGAGCCACGCCCAGCTGATTAGACTACGCCTAGCTGATACAAAGCGCGGCCTACGACCGGTCCTTTATGAACCCCATTCTCATGGCCGTATCAGTATTAATTAAAAGATTTATTTAAGTTAAATAAATTTGTGCTAAAACCCCAAAAATGAATCAATCAAAGTTTCAATGACCGTTGATTGCTAACGAAGTCACATTTATCTATCATTTGTTAATTAATATTGTCTTCATCATCATTGGTTGAAATCATGATAATCGTTGTCTTTATTTTATTGATTTGATTTTTTATATTATTTTTGTTCACACTATTGTTTGTAGCGATTAGATTTAATTATTAATCAACATCGTTAGGATGTTTTCTCTTACTCTTATCGTTGATATATTTGTGTGAATGGTTTAAGCCAAAAATAATCATACATTATACACAAATATAAAAATTTTGTTTTATAATATATTTCCTTTAAGTGAAAAGTATATATTCCACTGTCCCAGGGCTCACCAAACTTGAAAGCTAGCACCAGTGCAATGGAACATAATCAATCCATCAGGAGCAGTTGACATTCAAGGAATGGTGGTGGTGGATATGCAGAATGAACTTCTAGGAGACCTCCGAGGATAGAATCAATTGTCTACCTACATCCTTTGGTGGTTATGGAAGGCGAGGATTTTTGGGTCTTCGAGAGAGTGTGGCAACCGGAGACTTGGATCATCAAAACAGCAATGAAATATTGGCTTGAGTTCAAAGACAGCAAGGTCGAGACTTAACTTGGAACGAAAAGGGTTAGACTAGGTCTAGTATCAGCGATTTATCTCTTTTCTCGTTTCAGTTAGGTGATGTTTTCTTAGACCTGTTGTCTTTAGTTCTGATTGGGATATTGGTGTTGCAGGGAGTGTTAGTTTCAGCCGAGTGTGGCTTTGTGTTTGTCTCGGTTTGATTACTTTGGAGTGTTTGATTTCTTCTAGGCAGCACGTGTTGTGTTTGTCCTCTCAGTCACCCAGGAGTGGGGTTTTCCCCTAGGTACATTACCTTTGTTTGGTTTTAATGAAGTTTTTATGCCGATTGGAAAAAAAAAAGTATATATTTTGTTCATAAAAATATATATTTTTTAATTTCCAACTTATTAAGAAAAAAGATTATGAATAATAATATTTAAGTTCACCTTTGGTAGTACACATTACATAAATTAATTTTTATGCTAATATATATTTAACCAATCTTAATTTAAATTTGTATATTTTCTCTTTCTATGTCTTTCGATTATTGTGTTGTTACTTAGTTACGGTGAGAAAGTATTTTTTTACTTAATTTTGGTTGATAACATATAAAACTTGAAATTTGTATGCTAATATATATTTAATGAATCTTAATTTAAATTTGTATACTTTCTCTTTCTAGGTCTTTCGATTATTGTGTTGTTACAGTGAGAAAGTNATTGCAAACTCAATCTTTCTTAATACTTAGACACATTTTTCCCATGATGTGAAATATAAAAAAATATTTGAAAACATTAGTGAAGTACACGATTGAAGATACTTAATATACAAAACAAAATCTAAACAACCAATGTGTTTATCGAACATTATTACATATTGACTACTTTTTAGATAGAGTTCAAGACTATATTAAACATTAAAAATGAGTTCAACAAATTATAAATTAATGGTTCTGTTTATGCAATATTTTTATCTTGACATTATAATGCGATTGTCTAAACAATAACTTTCGATCTTATTTGAGCTCGTTGGAACAATTTCTATCATTGTAGTATCTTAAGTTTTTCCAGTTCGCAACATGTCAAGGCCCTATGTGTTTTAATATTGTTAATAATGGTTACATTTTCTTTTAATATTTTTTTTTTTTGGCTTTCAAAAAGTGAGCAGTGACAATTTTTGAACGAATATAGCATAAGTAATGTTACAAATAACACTGACTATGACATCAAATTTAAAGTAAACATATTCATTATTTCATTTCAAAGATTCTAATGATACTATTTTCTAACAATTAGATGTATATAGTATATTTATGATTTAGTCGCATATTTGATATCTTTATATTATTTTTTATAATAATTTCTTTTTATATTTTTATTGAAAAATGAAAGTTAATAATTGTATCTCGCTACATTATTGACCTTGGAAATTAACTTTAGTGTAGGGCATTTTCGACAATCCAATAGAGAATGTAAACGATCAACTATCAAATCCAATAGCACATAGGCAATACAATAACGAACAAGTCTATTCTAAAGGAGCCTAAATCGATCGACTTCTCCCCTTTCGGTTCTAAAAGCTAGGTTAGAATGATGATCAATCAACTAACCCTAGAATAACCCAACTCGCATAGATGGAACAATTAATGAGCATGTAATCGAAAACAAACCGAAACAATCATCCCCTGTCCCTAACTAATGGATTTAGCCACTCATCGCAATTTCAACACAACAATTCACAATTAAACAAGCCATCATATTCATAAACAAAATGAAAAGAAGAGTTTACGATTAATATTAAATACAATGTTGAAAAACAACAAGCAATCCAAATCCCAAATGATGAATCTTGGAGTTTTTACTCCCAAGATTGAATCCCAGTAAAACAAAAGAGAGCATGACGTTTTCTAAAGAGAAAAATCGAAAATACAAGTCAAGTCGAGCGGCTTCACTCCTTTCCTTGTTCTATCAAACAAGCATCTTCGAACCTTTCAGTCAAGCATTTTCAAACCTTGCTGGTAAAGGAAGTTCAAAGCTAGTCTAGTCTGTCTCTTCCTCTGGCCTTGGTCGAGTGGCTTAAAGTTCCCCCGGTCGCGGTAAAGCTCGTATTTGAATAAAATAGATCCTGATTTCAAACCCCAAACTAAAAAAACAATTAGTCCAGAAACTATAGATTCCAAGCTATTGGAAACTCCATAACTGATGGAGCGGAATGAGAAAACCAAGGTCCTAGATCGATCCATATGCTTTCCGTTTGAAAATCCCGTAAAAAATGCATCTGTTGCAAAACAGGGGTTAGCGGAGCTAACCCCTTAGTGCCGCTAATGGTGAAAAACGTCCGGGCTTCTGGGGTCGTTAACTCGGGGTAGCGGCGCTAAGGCCTGGGCAGCCCCTGAGGTTTCGGGCTTACGTGCTCTCGGGTCTTGCCCGAGCTGGAAACTCGATCCTAGCATGTTTGGTCGCACGAAACAAACTTGGACGGCACAATTCTTCTCTCGTCTGAATGCTCATCATCCAGTCAGTCTAAAACCTGAAACCACCACAACCGGAAAAACACGAAGAACAAGAAAAATAGGAAGAAAAACAAAGAAAATACCAAACACACCAAAATAAAGATAAAAATAAAAGAAATGACTAGACGGAGCAGAAAAATCTAAGAAACGACCTAAATATAGTCTTATTCGGGCACAAATGGGCATTGAAGAGATTGATAATGAGCTCTGTGGCAGGATTCGCAGTCTGGCTGGCCTATTATAGGATGCCTTTGGGCCGCGGAAGCCTGCCTTTCAATCTACACATAAGCGTTGGGTTGAATGCCTGTTGGGCCTTCAGTCACTTATGGCCCTGCTTTTTGTGATCGGGAGAATGAGGCAGAAGGTGTTGATGGGTGGGTTGTGTTTGATGAGTGGGGTTCGCAACTTGGCGGGCGTGTTCATGTGGCTCAAGAGGTGGAAGACGAGAATGGAGTTGACCTCATTTTTCTGGGCGAATGGCTTTCAACGTGCTGCTGGTGTATGTGTTGGAGTTAATCCTGACGTGCGTGAGAAACTCGGTCGTGTTGGTTGTGAGGGAGGCCATATTCTTGGTTGGGTTTCTTGGGCCTGTGGTAGTGGCGGTGGGGCTCGCCAAGGGGAACCGGTTTTTCTCGTGCCGATTTTTGGGGTGACGATATTGGTGTGCGAGTTGTGTGTGGTGTGGCTACCGGAGACGAAAGGGATTGAGTTGTTCGATATTATGGAGGAGGAGGAGGAGGATGACTATAGGGGTAATGAAGTTGACTTGAATAATTTGTAACATTCAAAATAAAACGATGTATTGATTTCTCAGAGACCTAAGTCCTTTGATGTGACATCGAATGTAAAACTAAACATATTCAATATTTTCATTTAAATGATTCTAATGATAACTATTTTGTAACAATTAGATGTATATAAAAATTTATGATTTCGTCGCATAATTGTAATTTTATTTTATTTTTTATAATAATTTTATTTTCTTATAATTTTATCGAAAAGTGAAAGTTAATAATTGTAACTTCCTACATTAGTGACCAGGGAAATTAATTATAGTGAAAAGCAGTTTTGATAATTCAAAATTTTCAAGAAACAACTATCTGCTTTAAGAGAGTTATAGATTGCACGTGCGGCGCACGTGATTATTAATATTTATATTATTTAAAAGTTATAATTTTATTGAATTTATGTTTGAGATTCAAAATTTCTCATTATTTTAATACAAAGGGAAACACATATATAATAAATTGTATAAATGTATTGGCACTGGAACATAATCTTTAATGGTTTAATTAAAAGCTATTATTAAATAAAAAATTTCTGTTAGAATCAAAAAATGAAATCAACTAATTTTTTTAGTGATTATTGATTGCTAACGAAGTCTCATTTATCTATCATACACATCCCATCCATCAACACCTTCTGCCTCATTCTTCCGATCACAAAAAAATAGGAGGACCCTCAATATTCGACTTCATGTGCTATGACCTCAGTTTCCTCTCCCTCCTGATTTTGGTCTATTTGCTTAGGGAGTCTTCCTGGAGATTAATGTACATTTGTATTTACGCTCCTTGTGTTTGCTAGCCGATTATCGTCTACTTATCAGCTCACGAGTCTTCGAGATAGCTCTACATCAAAGGGAGTGCGCGGGGATGAGAGGCCTCTCGTAAATAGAAAATGTTGATCTCAGAGTCCCGAGATGGGTCTACATCAAAGGGAAAAAAATAAGAGTTCGCGGGGATGAGAGGCCTCTCGCAAACAGAAAATATTGATCTCAGGGTGATGGATTCTTTGCAGTGGACTGAGAATTGTGCAGAACAGAATCAATAATTTACTACTCTCTTGTGTTTACAATCTTGTTCGGGCGCAAGTGGGCATTTGAGAGATTGATAATGAGTTCTATAGCGGGATTTGCAGTCGGGGTGACCTACTATTGGATATATTTGGGCCTCGAGAGCCTGCCGTTCAACCTATACATAAGCGTTGGGTTGAATGCCCTGTCGAGCCTTCAGTCGTATGTGGTCCTGTTTTTTTCGATCGGGAGAATGAGGCGAAAAGTGTTGCTGGGTGGGTTGTGTTTGTTGAGTGGGGTTCGCAACTTGGCGGGCGCGTTCGTGGG